CTCATTAGTAGCGTTTTGTTAGCATTTGAGGACCCTGTTAATTCCGATAGTCAACGAAACAGAGTAAGCATCTTTCTCTTCCATTCATTTGCTCTTTCATTCGCTCCATCTTGCATTCATTTAGTCATCCACTAATTGATTGATTGATCGGATGAAGGAAATGTTGATTGATTAATTTCATCGTTTACTTGACGATTAACAGAAATCTATTTTGGTCTATATTAAACTGCATGTCACCCCAAATAAAGCGGTTTGGACTTTATTAATTTTCCGAAATTCGCTTTCGTTTTCACCTCCTGTTAAAGGTCAACCTCTAAGTACTCGACCAACTAGTCTTTCACCAGGGGTCGACTAGAGGTTCGACTACGATTTCCCTTTAAGCTTCGACATGTTACTTCTACATTTTGTCAATTTAATTAAGAAATGGCTTAAATATGTTTTTCAGATCTTAGGATATTTTGACTATGTGATCACTGCAATCTTTGCGCTTGAAGTCGTGGCAAAGGTATTACATCATTATTTCAAGCTCAAAAATAGCTTCTTGTCGTTCTTTCTGATATCCTCAAAGTTGTGTTGATCATAAGTTTGTGTTGTCTTTTTTCGCAGATGATTGATTTGGGTGTTATTGTCCACAAGGGTTCGTACTTRAGAGACTGGTGGAATGTCATCGATGCCTTTGTCGTTGTATGCAATATAACAGCATTGATTCTCAAGTAAGTGAAGTTGTGATCACACCCATATAGGGGTATAGAATGGTGTCTCAGAAATCGCGAGGCTCGCCAAAAATTTCCCAAGGCTCGCAAACTCGGCGCTTAAAAGAAAGGAGCTCGGATTTGAATTTGCTTTTGGCTGGGAAGATCGCAATTGACGAAATATCGGACTCGTTCGGCCAAAGGCTCGGGCTCGGATTTTAAAGCGAGGAGCTCGCAGTCTCGGCGAGGCTTGGATTTACCATTCGATACCCCTCCATATCACTTCAAAACATTCTGTTTTTGCCTACGAATAAATGGTGGAGAGAGGGTGAGAAAGTGACAATAATATTGATAAAACGTGATAATAAAGCTGATTATGAACAGAGAAAAGACACATGAGAACTAAACACTATAAATAGATTATAATTCATGATAATTACCATGATCCAAGATGATTTATAATGATTATTATTGTCTAATTTATGATTACTATTGTCATAATATATGATAATTTATGATGATCTATAATAATTTATGATGATCTATGATAACTGGTTACTTTTGTAATAATATGATAATTCATGATGATAACTGTGATCTATGATAACTTATGATTATGATAATATATGATAATTTATGTATAATTTATGTATGATCTATGATGATTTTAGTCAAGATCAAGACGACTCGCATGACAGTACACGTAATACTAGTTCGCTAGAAGATGCTATCAAATCCTTTCGAGTGCTTCGAGTATTGCGACCCCTCAAAGCCATCAACAAGCTGAAGAATCTTAAGGTAATGCTGTTGTATCATTTATCGCCATTCATAATTTTACTAGAGTGCTCGCGTGAAACAAAAAGTACTAATTACTACTAAATAGTGTTGATTATACAATAGGAAACAAAGAAATTTGTATAATTTATCACCTATTTTGTAGTATTTATATTTCACGCATTTAGTGCGAGCACTCTAGCACTGAAAAAAATATAATTTTTGACTAAGCAGGGTTTTTTAGTGTGCAATTGTTCACTCAGTCATTTTTTCACTTGTTTTCTTATTTATTGGCGAACTACAAAATTGATTGATTGATTGATATTTATTCTTTTCAGACGGTTTTTCAATGCATGATTTTTTCACTGAAAAATGTCCGCAATATTCTCATCATTACTGGTCTGTTCTACTTCATCTTTGCTGTTATTGGAGTTCAGTTATTCAAGGTAGATATTTACACATTAAAAAGAAAMAAAATTACACCATAACAAGCATAGCAACCTAGAGCGGATTTCGTATGAGTGGGACACCGTTACCGCACGGTTACCGCACAGTTACCGGACCTGGCCTGCACAATTTTGGTGAACCAATGGGGCACTAGATTTGGTTACAGTACGGTTACGGTCACAGTACAGTACCGTCCGTTTCCCACTCATACGAAATTCGCTCTACCACCCCTTATCATGCCACCTTGCTACGTCCCTCACTTACCGACCTCACTTCACAATCTTTATGATTAACCATTTTCATAAAMTTCCTTTTCTACAGGGAAAGTTCTTTTACTGTACAGATCCCTCCAAAAAATTCGAAAAGGATTGCAAGTTAGTACATAATTTTCTTCTTTTCTTAAGTAAGTTTCCTTACTTACCAAATTGTCACTATGACGTCATATGATTTAAATTCAAAGGAAACGGCCCCGAGAAGACAGAAAACTGAATTGCTTAACTGCTTATGTTTATTCGAAACACCATTGCATCGTGGAACGGTTATATATTTTGGCTTTGAAAGGGGAGTAACGGGCACCCCGTGCCCTTCCCCCCGGATACGCCGCTGCAGMAGCACTTCATTTTCTAATAACTCCTCTGTCTACTCCCACAGGGGYTATTATTTCAAGTACAACGTCGACAACGCAATCAGTTTGGATCGCTTTGAGGTAATCTTTCTCTTTGTTTGTTTAGAAATTTGACTGCCTCAGTTAAGTTGTGCTGTGATTTAAGTACAATTACAGTACAAAAAAAGCTGTTTTTTTCTTGATTTAAAGCAAGTAATTTTCACGCAGGTTAAGGAACGTGAATGGAAAAATGTTGACTTCAATTTTGATAATGTTCCATATGCAATGCTAACATTATTTTCATCATCGACTGGCGAAGGATGGCCTATGTAAGTACTAACCTATAATCAACGTTTTCCGTGAAATAGCTATATGACGAAAAGACTCCTTCACGGTTCCCTGCGCCATCTTGAAATGTAGCCATGCCTTTACATCGAATCGAAACGAGCGTTRAGCGTGCAATGATAGAAACCTGTGAATAATTGTCTGTAGGTGTGAAATTAGGTTTCTATCATTGCACGCTTAACGTTCGTCTCGCTTTGATACAAAGACACGGCTATMTTTCAAGATGGCGCCTGGGAAACCTGAAGTAGACTATTATCCTTTCTTTGTGTTTTATAGAGCAATGTATCATACAATTGATGCTACAAACGTGGATGAAGGGCCGCGGCGTGACAATAACATCCACATGTCCATATACTATGTCTGTTTTGTGGTCGTCTTCTCTTTCTTCTTTTTAAACATCTTCGTCGCTCTCATCATTGTGACATTTCAAGAGCAAGGCGAGAAGGAAATGGTTGGATGTGAATTGAATAGGAATCAGGTAATTTCTTGTTGTTGCTGTTGCGGCTGCTTTTAATATTGCCAAGTCTCCTTTATGTCTAGAATATTTTGAACAGCTAGCAGATCTCAAACCCATTGATGGATGGACAAGTAGCGTCCGAGTTCTTTAAAGCGAACAGCYCCAATAGTAAAAGAGACAAATAAATGCGTTATGCATTAATGGTGGAATATTTACACAACAATTGTCCAAAACTCTCTAGCCCTTTACTAAAGCAAAAAGACAAAAGCGTTTCCATGGATATATAGCTACCTCAAAACCATTGACATTTTAATTTGGCAACTATTTGCTCTATACAATAAAATCTTATCTTTTTTGTTAGCGTGATTGTATTCAGTTTGCGATGACTGCAAAACCAAGACAGCGGTATATGCCCAAAGAGGACACTTGTTTCTTCAAGGTGTGGCGAGTSGTGGATTCCAAACCATTTGAAATCTTCATTATGACTATGATAGTACTCAACGCCTTGGTTCTTATGATGTCGGTATGTGTATTATTTATTCTTCCATCCACTTCTCCATTGAACAGTTCAACTGTCCCTCTTTCCTTTCCTCCCTCCTTCCATCCATTCATCCGTCAATCCTCCCATCCCTCCATCCATATTTACTTTCATCTCTCCTCTATTTCCCTCCCTTCCTCCATCCCTTAGTAAGTCCGTCTCTCCATCCATCGCTTGTTCGTTCTCTTTCAWCGCTAGTGTATGTATATATATTTTTATTTTACCGTTCTTCTTCATCAGTACGACAATGCAAGCCCTCAATATGATAAATACCTGGAATATATCAACATGGCCTTTACGTTCGTATTCTTACTGGAAGCCATCTTGAAGCTGATTGCTTTTAAATTGGTACGTTATTTAAACCTAACCTAATTCAAATTTGACCAAAAAATTCATTTTATTTGTATAAAGAATACAATGAAACGTCTAATCTCACATGCAGCGAAGCCAAGGCAATAAATAAACTTCAATCTTTCATATTATTATCTTTTTCATTTCTATTGACTACAACTCGTGTGACATACGACGTTTGAAACAAACCCCCTCATATAAGGTCTATGGTATATGGATTACATTTTTGTTTCTTTTTTTTCCAGAATTATTTTCGTGACTACTGGAATATTTTCGACTTTATTATTGTTGTTGCCACACTAGTGGAGGTTCTTATCGAATTATCCAAGGTAGGAAAATGAGTTTTAAACTTATATTATTAGAAATTATTCTTGTATTATTAGAAATTAGTCTTGTATTATTAGGAATTATTCTTATATCATTAGGAATTATCCTTATATTATTAGGAATTATTCTTACATTATTACTAATTATTTCTCTAGGACGAGCAAACGTCGGATTCCAAACGCGATATCGATCCCAGCTTCTTTCGACTTTTTCGAGCGGCACGYCTTGTYAAACTTCTTCGYCAGGGCTACACGATACGGATATTACTGTGGACATTCTTCCAGTCATTTAAAGTAAGAATCATGTACATCGTCATTAGTTTTCATTTTTATTATTGTAGGTCACTACGACATTATTATCTTCATGGTATGTAACTTATAGCCCCCTTCTCAGGCAACGCTTCATTTGCCCTTTTGGAATCCTCAGGAATCCTTTTTAGCAAGCAGGGGCATTCTTTTATGTTTCTGTCGGGTCACAGTCTTCCTGGGTCATATTGAGGAACATTGAATAAACAGTGAATTTTGTACGTAAATAAAGATATATTCTGTGAATTTTAGGCGCTGCCCTATGTGGTTATATTGATTGCTCTGCTCTTCTTTGTTTATGCTGTGATTGGCATGCAGGTATGACTGTCATTTAACTCGCGTAATTTTACGTGATACTGGAAGAAATCGCGCACTTTAAACATGTAAATGATTTACATCAAATTWACAGGAAATTTACAGAATTTTGGACACTTACATCATTTTTACATCCAATTTACAACCTTTAAAGTGCGCGATCTTTTYCAGTGAAATTACCACTAAATTTCATACTAAAAGACCCAACTGTAATCGAGGACATTTGTAAACGTTTCATTTGTTTGAAAAAAGATTGATTCCTAATGGATTGAAAATCAAAGATGGTGATTTCTTGTATGTCAGAGAATCGCGCAAAGGTTGTCGGGTACACGTGGGTCTTTAAAGAGGGTTTAAACGTTGCCACTTAGAGTTAAATGTTACAATTGTAGAGAGAAAAGAAACTGAGTTATTCTTCAATATAGCTTCAAAGCTTTCGTCGTCTAATTGTCTGATTTAAATCGTTTTTAGCTATTCGGTCGGATTAAACAGGTGCCAAATAATAAAATCAACATCCACAACCACTTCCAGTCATTTCTTCAGTCTCTTCTGGTACTGTTCAGGTAAATATATAGGTGTATTTTCGGAATTCCACTTGGATATCGCCTTCATTTCGCTTATTTTGCTGCTATTTCGCTTCCTTATTGAATATTTCGCCTACCTTTTGTTCACTTCCTTGCTCTTTTGCTGTTTTGCTTTTATATAATYTATTTAATTCGCTTCCATCTCTGCTTTTTCGCTTCTATTTTGCTAATTTAGTTCCATTTTTCTCATTTCGGTATCATTTTACTCATTTCGCTGTTTCTATCATCTTTTYGCAGGTCAGCAACAGGTGAAAACTGGCACTTAGTGATGTTAGCGTGTTTTGATGGTGCTGAATGCCAAGTTGGTAAAGACTGTGGAAATACAATGGCGTCCATTATCTACTTCTGTACCTTTTACTTCTTTTGCTCTTTTCTGGTAAGATATTAATAGTTCATACAATCTGATACGTATGGCTATTCTCACTAATCTTTCACGATCCAATCAAAACGACTCTATCATGAGATGTTCGCATCTCATTGCGTTAAGTTGGCATATTCTTTGATACAGTTAACTCTCTTTAAACGACCACTCCCATAAGCGACCATCTCCCGTAAGCGAACACCTTTTAAATTTCCTATTTTGTTAACTCCCATATAAACTCTGTAAATAAACTTTCTCGTAAGCGACCATCTCTCGTAAGCGACCACGTTTTCTGATCCCGAGGTGGTCGCTTACGAGAGAGTTGACTGTATTTTCTAGATGTTAAACCTCTTTGTGGCCGTCATCATGGATAACTTTGAATATTTGACACGYGACGAGTCCATCCTTGGACCTCACCATCTGGAYGAGTTTGTGAGGGTGTGGTCGGAGTACGATCGTGGAGCTACGTAAGTGAAATTTTGTACTAAATTATGGTACGAGTTTAGTGTAAACATCTCATTATGATTCCTATTGGCATACATTTCCTATAGTATTCCTTGTAAGAAATAGCTTGCTACCACAATCGTGTAACCTATCGTGGCTTTTCCTCCTATAACACGGAATATTACGTAATGTATACGGTTTAATACGGGTACTTAACACGGAGTTCACTATACGTCGTTGGATTCAAGATTCCCAATCCCAATTCCCTTAATACCCATGAAATAGTTAGCAGGCTACTAGTTAGGCCTTGTGTTTGTATGATGGTCCTTGAATCGCCCCATTGCATTGACGTTGAATTGTTATTACTCCCTTTAATGAATGGAATTATATACAAATACACGTTTTGGGTTATTTGGACGACTCGAACGTTCATAAGGGTACTAGACCTTTGTAACAGAACATATTTGATTTGATTATTTGATTGCTTTTCTTATATAGTAAGTGTTTCACGGGTTGAGGTTACGACTCTAATGAATATTGTCTTTCATTACAGTGGAAGAATAAAGCACACAGATGTCTACAAGCTGATGTGTGATATGTCTCCCCCTGTTGGGTTTGGTAAAAAATGTCCCAAGTTTATAGCATATAAGGTGAGTTTTCTTACAGAAAATACAACAATTCATGGATGGAAAAGGATATGATTAAACTTTACGATGATGATTTCATTTCGGGTTGGTCAGGCGCCATAACAGTTTGTAAGCAGATTCTAAGACTCTGTTTACATGAGATAGGGTGTCTCTCCGTAGTAGGGCTAACTCTTGTTTTCTTTTCCCTGGAGGATTTAAAACAAAGGATTTTGGCCCTACCACTAGGGGCACCCTATCTCATGTAAACAGGGTCTAAGTGCGTGGTGTCAGTTGTTGTCGGCGCTGTTCGCTAGTTTTCCGATTTTCACTTGAAGCGTACTACGTTTCGACGGTTGAAAACTAATCTAAGTTACGATAAGTTAGCTTTTGTTAAAACAGACTTTGTTTGGAAAGTAAGGAGAGGGGATCTTAGTCTGCTCAAGTAGTGGAATTWATCTCTTGCGTGCGGTAGAGTCGAGGCAGCGTCATCTGGGGGATAAAACAAAAGATTATAATTGCTCTTTTTGGACGTAGAATCCATATTTTTGCCCCCCAGATGGAGCTGAACATATGTTTTGCCAATCTTCCTGAGGATCGAGGCAATAATCATATTATTTTATTAATGCGATTTGTTAATGTTTTATTCTAGCGATTAATAAAGATGAACATGCCGATAATGGGYGACAATACAGTATTATTCACAGCCACGCTCTTTGCCTTGATACGWACATCGTTGGGGATATTCAGCCATGGTGATCCGTCCTACGCTGACACTGATTTRCGACGAACMATCAAGAAACTTTGGCCCAAAACCAGCAAGAAAACCTTAGATAAAATGATCCCGATGCAGTCAGGTATATCATATATCAATTGTTGCCTTGAATAGTTTTTGTTCTTAGCTGTATTCTTATTTTATTTAGAAACACAGATGGACTCATTTTGGGCGATTTCCTCGATTTTTAAAGCATTTTAATTAAAAAATATTAACAAATTTAACAAATTTTTATTTAAAAAATAGTTTGAAACTTGCAGATATTATAACGAAAACACTTCGGCCATGTTGTCTGCTCTGCTCTGCTCTGCTCTGCTCTGCTCTGCTCTGCTCTGCTCTGCTCTGCTCTGCTTTTTATTTCTTTTTTTTATAATTAATATCTTTGTTTTATTTTTTTCGCTTACAGTTCTAAGTTCACAACAGATGACAGTAGGCAAAATCTACTGCGCCAAACTTATTTATGAAAATTACAAACATTTGAAAAGAAGAAGACTAGAAGACGGCAAGAAAAACAAGGTAAATTCGCTAAAACATGCAAGTAAAGTTGATTTTTTAAAAAGTCTATGATAAACAGTGGAGGTTTGTGGTAGGCTATGATCAAAAGTTATCGAGGTACAGCAGTTTGCGAACATCTTTACACGCATCTTGTAAAGAAATGCTACATATTCCACGTTATAATACTACACTGGGTTGACCACGGGGAAGGTGGTGGGGGAATTTCAACATGCATGAGTTACATTTGGTGACTGTNCAGAAAACACACACGAAAAATAGGAAAATAGAATGGAAAATAGTCAATGAATGAGTCTATTATCCGTTCAATAAAAATAAAAAATACCTTAAAGTTTATAAAATTCTGAATATCAATATACTTTTCAGCTCAAAGGAAAAACTAGATTCCATACAACCTAAAAGACGAATGCATCGATCGCTGAAGTTCTTTCGCAGGCCGTTCGGTAGAACAGGGAGCAATAGTGAAGATGAGGAAATACGAAGAATGAGAAAATCCGTACGATTTAAGGTATGTCAACAACTTTAAGAAGTTTTGTTTTGTKCCATGTAACTTTTGCGAACATTGACGAAATTTGGCAGCCTTTAATTTAGAACACTAGAAATAGTAATACATTGTACTGATACAAGTCCATTAAAGTGGAAGCACTTAAAATCCGTGAAACAAATATTACTAGTTGTTTCTTAACAGTATCGATTCGAGAACAATAGAAAACAAAAGAATTATTTATTTATAATTTAGTACTATTTTACACTATTTAAGGTTCCCGGATTGAATGCACCGGCTCTTGTAATCTATTAATATTATTAATCAATATCCGTCAAACGTTATTTTAGGATGCACCGATGGATTTGACCGACATTAATCCAACTATTGTAAGCACAGACAACGAAGAGGAAGAACAAACAGAAACGACACAGAAAAAACGAAAAACCGTCAAACACAGCTACAAAAACCCTGTGGTAAATACAGGCAATCCTTAAAAGGTTGTCGAACTGCAGAAGAAARCATACAGTCAACAACAAAGTCARGACTGATGTAGATTTGGTTCTTACGCACGCTCTAATTGGTTCCATATAAATTCTTACGCGCGTTTCGATTGGTCATATGACGATTGCTTCTTACGCACGCTCTAATTGGTTTCATAAAGATCGATTCTTACGCGCTTTCTGATTGGCCCAAGAGTGTTCTTTAGTTTGCTCACAAACAAAAAGAACTTTCTGTATTATTATTATTATTATTTCATAAAAGCAATGAAATATGGAAGGAGATACTATGTTAAAAAAACCTGTTTTACCTGTTTTTAACAGATTCCTTACCATCCATTTTTGCTGAAAAAAATGACAAGGATTGTGCGAGCAATGAATCATTTTTCTTGTTGTTGACTATATCTGTCTTCTGCCATTGTTCAACCTTTTTGGATTAGTTGGATTTCATATGTATAATGATATTATATTGCTTTATATGAACCAGTAGACAACTCGGTGCATCTCAAACGGGTCCAGAATTACACCGAGGAAACAGTATTCTTGATGTCTACGTTACATCATCGCCGCCATATTGGATGAAGATCACAAAGYATTCCTGCCTTATCATCCAACATGACGGCGGTTGCTTTGTTCTTTATTTCCCAGGGGRATTCTTGTTCATGTGATCGTACTCCAAGAATCCGTTACTTATTTCATGATATTTCTTTCTTCATACGTGAATCCAGTCGTACGAAACCTCGCCTTAGTCTCAATGTTGTCCCACAATTCTGTTTGAATGTCTCTTCCCTCAGGAGAAGAAGAGGAGAAAGCGATTCTCAAGAGAGTTCGATTCCGCTTTCTAATCGGGACAGCACTGGGACTAACTCATGAGGTATTATAATCGCAGTTAGYAAGGCAATGTGTAAGGGATATGATAGAGAGAATAGGCATTGACGGCGYGAAACACAATGTAATAGARTKGTTCTTGTMAACCCGTGAAATACACTTTAGCGATCCTCATTTTATTACTCTTTCTATCGTGGACATTTTTCTTTCTCATTCCGATTTATCAMACTCGTTACAATTTGACTATTTTATATGTTTCACGGGTTAATGAAAACYACTCCAAGCCCGWGAAATACAAKTTAGCGARCGTCACTTTATTACTCTTTATTTTACAAGTTTCTTGTATTTTCTTTGTATTRCACATTATTATATTTTTATATTACACTTTGTTTCACGGGTTTGGACAACTACTCCATTAAATTTATTATATTCGGCTCTATTCTATTTTATTCCAAAAGTTAATAACCCTAAAATAATTGTGATAAGCAARAGTGCAGGATGTTACTCCTTATCAACTGTCTAACAACATTTGTTACGTCCACAGGCTATTGAAGACGCAGAGAATGAAATCTACAGCTCTACTGAATCACCGTCCCATTCCTCCGCGGACATCCGCACTCCTCCCCTGGTAAGAATCCACTCTTCGTCGCCTCTAACCCTAGACGTTGATAGTCTGGACCAATCATCCAGCGAAGATCGTAATCACTTAAGACTCGACCCATTCCCGGAYGTYATTAAGTCTGCCGAGAGCAGCCCGAGACATTCACTGGCATCGARCAGCGAGTTCTTCGCACGTGCCCGATTACACAGGAACCCCAAGGATCAGAGGTCTAATGAAGTTATTAATCAGTTAAATGAGGAAATCTCKCAAGCGGTAAGAAGTGGTCARAGTGCTTATTGTATTTTTGGAATGTTTGATAATGATGAGGAGACCTGGTGTTAGGATTGGTCACGTGGATAAGCAAACGATCTGATTGGTCAAAAGAAGAATGGTTCAAGCAGGGATCCCTGRTAGTGTTTCGTGGAGATTATTAACGACTCTTAAATGAAATCGAAAGTTCCAGAGAGAAATTTAAATCTGGACTCCTGCTGGTTTGATATTAAAAGGCTAGAGGCACGCGATATACAAAAACTTCTGGAAAAAGTAATTTTACCATGGCACTCTTCCTGGACTGATTTTTTACTGTTTAATCTCCAATCCTGGACAAAGAAGCAAACAAACTAGACAATGAGAACTCGGAAAATACACATTGCTCGATGTACAGAGAGACTGACTTCCTGTGGGTCTCTGACCCTAGGGGATATTTTTATATTGAGATACATTGGTGACTGTAGAAGAACCTATATTTAGGTGTTTATACAGGAAATGTTTACCATTAATGGTTATGCAGGAGAAAGTTCAAAGGGATCTTAATTTAGCACACGAACCGTCTAGAAGCAAGGAACTGTCACAAAGTGATCAAGTGTTTCGCTAAGAAGCTATGCAACTGTGCAAGTATCGCAGTACCTATCAACCTATCAACCATATATGGAGATCAGCGGTCCTTTGAAGGACCTGTTCAAGAGAAAATGCATTCTTTTCAAAGAGAATTCTTGTAAGTGCAAAAAAGCGTCGCCCYGGAGAAACACGGTWCCAGCAACCATTTGGCGATGTCTTTTACCATCTGTAAGCAGAACGGAGGCATATTTTCCAATAATTCATACAAGTAACGAACAGAAAGCGTATTTATTCTTTCGAAAGATTATGATCATACGAAGAACAAAGAAGCACTTCGTTAGCAAAGACCTGTATAAGATTCAAGGTTTAAAGTTCACAATCTTCCACCCTCGAGGTGGATAAAGACCAAGAATGAAGTTATTAGGACAGCATTATATCAAAGGTTACTTGCTTATGATTGGCTGATTTGAATGTTGGTAAGTTGAGTCGACCGAATACCTGGCCAAATGTTCTGTATACTTTCATCTTGAAAAAATATTATTTACTTTTTATGGTCTAGAAACATTGTTTATTGAATTTATGGACAAAAAAGTCTCCTCTTGCAGCCGTTATAATGCTCGTTCCCAGGTCTCTTCCCAACTGACAGCGTAAGGGGAGAGAGACCTGAGAACGAGCCATACAACGGCTGTGAGAGGAGACTAGGAAAAAAAGAGATGCAACACAACACTAACTTTTTTCTGCTTAAAGATGTTGATAGCTGTATAAAAAAAATATAAAAATATGAATGACTATAAACACATAACAGAGAGGCATCTCTAACGATTTCAAAGCACTCCTCAATTATATTCATAGTATGGCTATTTTACAAAAAAAAAATACAAAATAACAAACTAAAAGAAGTGAATTGTAAGATACATAAAGCATTAACTCATAGGTATTAATATTATTGATATATTAGAATATCAAACATGTATAATTCTCAACATAAAGCAGGCAGGTCCTTGCTGTAATGGCTAACTTTTTAAGTACCGCGTCTTCACTATCTCACGATATTCATACACAAAAGACCTGAAGACGAGGCTCCTGGGGCAAAAAGATCATGTTTCGCTTTCCAGAGCCTCGTCTTGAAATCTTTTGTGTGTGGTGCGCCAACCAAAATACCAAAATCGGGAATTGTACTTTTCAATTTTTTCCGTTGTTTTCAATAAAGTGGCATAGTTGAMGCTCACGGCAGTAAAGTAGAGGATATCTCACAGAAAAAGTTGTTAAACTCAATTTTAATTCATTATATCGATGTTGTGAGCTCTTTGACAAAGTTTAAAGATTGTTGCTTGGTTGGTTCGTTGATTGGTTGCTTGGTTTGGTTTGKGTTTGGTTTGGTTGCTGGTTGTTTTTTTTTTGGTTGATTGATGATTGATATTTGGTTTATCTTGAGGACATAAATTAATTTTCTACTAAAAATTCATATATATTGAGCTCACAACTTCTTTAATAAAACAAATTCTCCAGTTAAAAAATACTTGTAATAAATAACTAAAATTTGTTTCTTCATCTGCTAATAAAAAAATCAATAATTTTAATTGTTGTGTTTTAAATTATAAATAGAATCTAACAATTTCATCTTGATTTCCTCAAGTATGTTAAGGCTTGACTTTTTCGGTCTTGACGCACGATCAGCTTGTATTGTCTGTAAAACTAGTTTCGTTTTATTGCAAAACCTCCTCAGTTACAAGAAATTAATATCAAAGTCTTGCGAGGCCAAAATACTAGATATATCGAAGAATCTAACAAACCTTAGCTCTTAGATAAATACGTTTTCGGAAAGACTTGCGATCCAATACACGACCGAAATTGATTGCGGGTTGCGGATCGGTGATGATTCAACGATGATTCGATGATGAGGCAGTAGATACCATATTAAATGCACTCAATATGTGCGTTTCAATAGGCAATGTGCAGTGATACAGTTTTGCGCAGCAAGTCATGATTTAGTCCTAGGATGTTTGTWCAAAATGTCGTCGCTGCACATTGCCTAAACGAAGATTAACTTCTTGGACTACAACAAAGTTGCGCGACAAAGTTAGGGTTTTTGCATCTCGTATTTCTCGGCCTATGTCTGGTATATTTTTATCAKGAATAGTGTCCCCCCTTATCCACTCAAATACAAATATAACAAAAATTTATCATAGGAATTCCCCATAGGCCCTGTCGAGATACCACCCTGCTGTTGTGACTCGCCATACAATGTGGTTCTAGGTGATATGGCATTATTTTCATTGAGAAAAGCAAGGTTTTCAAATAGTACTGAGACACAAATCTGGAAACCTCTCATGATGAATGTCAGGATCGTAGCGGTGATATCGAGTGCGTTGGATCATTTACAAGTGAAAATACTTAAAGAAACAGATATACATATAGTCACTTGTGTTGCTCTTTTGTTTCTTTGGGCTGTTATCCTTTGGCTGAATTTGTTTCAAGAACATATAGCTTAAAATATGTTTTGTATTTGCGGTCTTGAACGGGTTAAATGACTGCACTCTCTGTATAWTGTAAGGGTTTTGTAAAGACCACTTCACATATTATTCAGACATACTCTTTCCCCTCAGGGCTTCCCTTTTCAATCCCTTTCCCCACAGAAAGCTTAACGTAGTAAGACAAGGAAGTTTAGATTAAAACCAAAGGCCTTATCTTTATTTTTGCTTTACAAATATGCGTGGTAAAGGAGAAATGCCTGGAAGGTATTTTAACAAGAGCCAGGCCCGACGTCTTGAAAAAAGCCTACCGCGTCTCCAGCTGCTACGATGAGACACGYTAAGTGTTATCACCAGACATTGAACGAGAGGTGAGTGAACTTTAGTTCAATAGTGGGTGTTGAATTGGATCAAAGTTGGCAATAAACAGCTTTTTGCCATTATTAAATTATCTTTATTTGTTTTCTTTGTTCTCCTTTTACTCCATATTCTGTACGCTATGTAAAGAACTGTCGAGGGCGGGCCTCAAATTTGTGTCATTGCCATTTCCCTTTGAAAGCGGAGACAGAATTCAATATTCAATATTCATGGTGTATTGGTCAAATGCGTACAAAAGAAAATGTTATTACTATTTAAACCAATTTAAAACGTATTGAGTCGTTTAACTATGACTTTGATATTTTATTCGATCTATAATTGTGATATTTTTACATCGGAGGTGGCCACATGGAAGTGATTATTGATTGTACTAAATATAAATTATTCCTCATAACTTTCAATTTTCTAAGATAATGCTCGTTATTTGCTCTTTTGTCACTGCCGGAGACGCTTCTATATAATCCAAAACTTCCAATACACTAAGTATGCTAGTTTGGTTATGAATATTTTCAGATCTTTTCGGCAAGTATACTTTGCACGTATCGACCCAAGGCATGTAAACCCTGAACCACAGCACGAGTTAGCATTGTGCGAGGTCGTAATATCCCTCGATCTATTCTTTCAGAGGTTTCATATTTATTGTAACCTTTCATTGACAAATGTTATTTGAGGTTTACTTGTGCAAATTTCGAATCATTTCTAAAAATTACTCAATATGGCTTATAATGGACCGGGTATACTACTAGAAAAGCACCCTATTGGGTTGCTAATTGTTTATTTACTCAAGTAGGCAAGCCTAGAACGAAGTTCTAACCATCTAACGGTGTATTTAATCGTTTCTCCTTCTGGTTTTGGGGATTAGAGATTTGTCGCTGTACGTTACAGCAGGACAAGGAAGCTCATGCCGGCTTTTCGGACGTACGCCCGTTCTTCTATTCTATATCAACTATACTACGCTCGTGTTTCTAAGCTTGCTTCTCTCGTGTTTTTTAAATCCCACTGTGTTTATATCAGAGGACAAAGAAACGCGCGCCGTTTTATAGTTCTTAAATATGGAATGTTCGATATGAAGGCGATAGAAAATTTATTGTAAATATCGCCACCATCTTGGATTATTTTAAAATAATTGGATGCCCGAGTAAACAAGTGCAAAGTTATATTTACTGATTTTGCAGAAAATTCAATATTCAGAAGTTGATAATTTTCTCTCTCTATAAATTGGATTATTGCGTTTATTGCTCGAGAGAATACGATTCGAATATGAGGACCGCATGGCACTGAGATACATGATATAGAAATAATGAAAAGTTATAGTACTTAGAAGGAGGTTGGCAATATGACTTTCGTTTACTTCTATATCTTTATCTTAATGATGACTTGGTATTTTTTTATTCCATCCGATATGTTGGCATTATTTTAATTGTAATCTTTCTTTTTTTCTTTTTCTTTTTTTTTTTTTCCTTTTTTTAAGATTCACGTCCAAAAGTCTCTTCGCATCGATTTATRTTCCTGATTCAAAACTAACGACAAACAAAAATATGTTAATTCTCTATGTCATCATGGATTTTATGTGAACATAAGATTATGGCCAGCATTATTTAAAGGTTTAATCCTTACCTCATGTTATGTTGTTCTGCCGCACCGCTTCTGTTAACCAGACTTTGACTCCAACGGGGTGGTGGAACTACCGCTAAACTAGTGTGAGCTGCGTCGGTGTTTCTAAAGAAACAGTTGTAAAAAGATAAATTTCTTTACTCCGATATAGGATTTTAACGTCCGAAACATCAGTAAGTTGTTTCACCTATCATTTTACGGTGTTAAATTTATCTTTTTACACAACTATTTCTTTAACTCCAACGTTCAGCCGTCGATCTATAAGAACTACAGTTTCATTTACTTTTGATTTATTTTTAAGTGTACCAAGGTTTGTATATAGTATTACCTGCATAACATACATAATTAGATATCATTAGAAGTGGCTGCAATCTGAGATTCAATGCGAGTTGTTTCATTTGACGGATGAATTGAAATTTGTTGGCACACTCATTACTAGGGTGCGGTCAATCGAATTAAAACCTTTTACCACCACCACTGAAAGGGAAAGCCTAAAACAAGCAGCACAGCGTCAAAGAGAATAATTTATTGAAACTTTGAGAGGCACTTCATCAAATTCATCAAATTTACCGAGAAATTCAGTGATAATTCGTTTGACAATAAAAATTATGTTGGAATGCTCGTTGTTAGGAGTGCATGATGGGTATTCTACCGTTGATCCTAATACACCTTTTCAGCTGCACTTAGGCCTCGATAGCAAGTTAATTATTCTTTTGAATTCGACAAATGAGACTATTCATATCAATGTTTGCATTGCTCACATTCCTACAAATTCAAAAGAATATTTAACACGCTGCCGAGGCCTAAAGGCAACTGAAAATGTGTATTCAACAACTAAAGAAATAACATATAACTCTCGCTATTGGTCCCGTGGTGTTCAGGACTTCATAGACGTTAAACAAAGAATTGGAGATGAACTCAACGCTCATTTCGTCTCCGTCAAAGCAGTGGGTTGTTGTTGTTGTTGTTGTTGTTGTTGTTTTGGGAGACAATTTTAGAAAGACAAAAAGAAATTCGGGGCCACTACATCTACCATCATGCTTTATTGTCGAAAATAGCGTCGCTTTACATTATCCGTATTAACGTTTACAATGAAGAACAAAAACCAACGGCAAAAGAGACTCCATGTTGATTAAAAGAAGGGAGTATGCATAATGCATCCCCCATCCCCACCCCCCCTTCGATTATTCTGTAGTTGGGACAAGGTACAAATCACAAATTCTTCTGGAACACGTGTATTAACACAAAAAGCCGATCTCTCTCACGCTTTCTCAAATACACTTCACGTGTAAGCTTCCAGCAAGTAATCACGTGATCTAGGGTTAACAAGGAATGCCCTGCTATTGATGTCACTAAATTCAATAGTGACAATAGTCAATCAAAGTGACTGTAACTATTTAAGTCATTTCTGAACCGCGACTCTTCTCCACTACTGTGGTCCTCGTTCGAGTCGACGGTTATAGTTTCTTGAACTGATACAGTCTACTCTCGTTCTCTAGTCGTTCTCTCACGCTATCTAGTTAAGCGCTATTTCCCACCATCTCGTTCCCTAACTCCTAGTTGTCTAGTCGTTCTCTCACGCTATCTAGTTAAGCGCTATTTCCCACCATCTCGTTCCCTAACTCCTAGTT